ATACAATTTGGGAGCTTAATATTTGAACGTCGATTTGCTTTTATGTATGACAAAACTTCATTTGTTTGGGCCAAAAGTAAATTATTCAATTTGTTTAACAAACGAACAAACTTATGTATGTATGTATGTATATATGTTCATAACTAGGTAATACTAATTGGTTTCATTAGTTTAATTTAAAAGTTTGAAATGTTTTTTTTTTGTTTTTTTAAGTAATGCTGATTGTGTCCTGTGTGAGCGTTGGTTATATGTGTTGAATATACACACTAACGAATGGATACATATTTACTCTAATCGAATTTCATGTGACTTATTATACCTCCCATCCCAGCTCAGACCAGGCAAAGAACTTGGTTCGCTTGCTCAAGACTGCAAAGTATAAGCTGTTTAAACTCTTATTGGTGGCTAGTCGTCACGCAAACAGCAGCGGATCCCAATATGTAGATAGTACGTACATACATATTTAAACGCCATGTGTATGCGCACGAACGTTATTAATGAAAACGTGGGCAATTGTTGAGGGTGCTTAGTTAGGTGGCTCCGTTTCATTTTCTTTCCATGCTGGCCACACACACACACTCATACGTACTATTGAATTTTGCAGATATTGGTTAGAAGCAGGCGAAACTTGGATTTTTTTATGCCGTCATATAGTTATGTAAGCTCTTTGGTACGTATGTATGTATGTGTGTCATTTATTTAAGTAGAGTGGCGTTAAGTCAAACTAGTAAAGACGCGCTGCATAGTTTAGTCCTCATCGGAGAGATTAGCGTTGGTTAGCAGTGTTGTATTATCATCCGCACCGGCCTCTTCGACATCCTAAAATCGAAAGAAAAACAGAAGATTAATAAAAAGAAAATAAATAAAAAATGAATTCGCAAGCAAGAAAAAGTAAAATTCTTAATTTCTTTACAGGTGGCGAGCTTTACTCTACTTACATTGCGATTCCGCATGCGCACCGAGGAGACGATGGCGCGTTTGTTGCGTGCAACCAAGCAGATCGCAATTATTAGAATCATGCCAGTTAAGGCGAAACCCAGTAATGCAGGCAATAAAACGCTGTCCTCCTTGTACCCCTTTAGAGTAGAGCAGCGGGTGGAAAGATGTTGAAAAAAAAATTATTAATTAATGTTAAGAATTGCAAATTACGATTTAACAGTTAGGTTAACATGCGTATGTATGTATGTATACTTATAGGGTTATGTTAGTTATAATTAATAATTCACCTTAATAACAGCTAACTAAGGTCATACACTAGGCGACAAATGAAAGTGTACACCTTATTCTAATATAATATTCACAATTACTTTCACGAATAATTCCTTAATTATTTAGGAAAATACAGTTCAATCTATAATATAAACCATATAAATCAAAGTTTCACACTTTATATAAAATTCACAAAAAATGCAACAAATTTTCGACAAATTTTTTAACTTTTTATTCAGAATTTTGTAAAATTAAAACATTTTTTACTTTAATTTTTTATACAGTATTGTATATTTTTCGAGCTCAAGGCCATATGAAAATCGAAACAAAATTTTTGATTTTACATTTGTTTTTTATTTGCCGATATTTCGACTTCAGTCTGAAGTCATCCTCAGGACTGAAAAATACATTATTATAATTACACACATTAATACATATGTACGTATAAACCTAAACAAGTACAACTTACACATTTGACAATGTTTGATCGACTGAAACAGATGAGCGAAAAAAAAACAATAATTAAACAAGCAAATTTGGAGACAGTAGAAAACATCAACATGAGAATGTAAACAATTCAAAATACAGTAATCATAAACAAAAATCCACGAACAACAATACATAGGAAAACGAACAGTAAGACATAAATATGTATGCATATCACTGCAGCTCTCTTTTGTTGTTGTCCGAAACATATAAGGTACGGAATGACAGTGGACTGCGAACGAACACATGACACCTATACTATTGTTGTTGTCTTAGAATTAAGTTGCGATAAACATGCGCGCAATTGTCGGTGTCCGATTTGAAGTTCATCCTTTTATTGTTAGGGGTGTTCATAATATGTAGCATTTCCAAAGTATAGCGTTTATGGTAGTGTTTTTCCTTTTCTAAAATTGCTACGTTGTCAAAGTTTGGATAATGTCCCGTATTCTTACAATGATATGACAAGGCCGTCTTGTTGTCCGAGGAGTTGTTCCTTAATTTAATATTTGACTTATGAGCGGAAATCCTTGTCTTTAACTTTGATTTAGTTGTCCCCACATATACCTTATTACATACGTGGGACCCGTCGCCATTGCATGGAATTTTATATACTACGTTGGATTTCTCAAATTTCGGAATCTTGTCCTTTGTATTGCTGTAGATTTGTCGTAGTGTGTTATTATATGTAAACGCAATTGTATAATTATCTTTATCATATATACTCGAATTTTTAACCCTTTCGGATATCCCTGGAACATATGTCGATGATCTGTAAATTTTATTTTCCCTGTCTCTATTTGTCCCCTGTTTAGTGGTACCAACGTAGTAATTACGAATCAATTTGTTTATCAATGACAAGGGGAAATCATTATACTCCAGAATTCTTTTTATAACAGCAATATTTTTTGTATGATAAATTTTGTCGCTTATAGAGAGGACCCTTCTAATGCAGTTGTTGGCAGTATTTAGAATTATCCTTTTCTCATGTTTGGAGTGAAAGTTAATTAGTCTCCCAGACGCAGTCGGCTTTTTGTACCAGTCAATTGTTAATAAATTATTTCTTCTTATTATTAGAGTGTCCAAATAAGATAACTGTCCATTATTTTCTTTTTCTATTGTAAATTTAATCGACTTATTGTAGTTGTTGAGTGTGTGTAGCATTATGTCCATATCTTGGGTTTTAATAATAGCAAATAGATCATCCACGTATTTGGTCAGTAAACGCGGTTTGTTGGTGGAGTCCCTTTCAAATTTAATTTTTTATGAAAATATGGTTTATTCTTAATATAAACCATATAAATCAAAGTTTCACGCTTTATATAAAGTTCACAAAAATTAAAAAAAAATCCATCAAAATTTTTAACCTTTTCTTCAGAATTTCTAGAAAATTTTCGAGCATATCCTGGGAAATTTCCAATATTTATTTTTGAAAAAAAATCTGTCTAGGACTAATAACTTTATTAATTTTAGATACAACAAAATTTACACTTCTCTTTATAAAATGTTGATAGTTACAATATACATAAATTAAGATACTGTAATTGTTATTTTGGAACCATGTTTGCGCTCTAAAAAAACAAACTGTCCGTATGATGTACGGTATAAATACTTTAATTTCACCTAGGGGG